ACATTCATAGTTATGAATGTGATCATTGTGTATATCTAAAATATTGCAATAAAATTAATTTTAGAAAAGAAATACAAATTATGTAATTTTAGTGATTCTCCAAATGAGGTAAGTGCCCTTATTTATTTCTTCTAAACTCATATTGAACAACATAAATATAAGCAGTTATACTTATGCTAATAATTTAAATTTTTAGTCATTGCCTACTTAAAACAACACTAAATAACAAATAAAAATACCATAGTAGGGAAAAGGAAATAAGACAAAAGAAAAAATATTAGAAAATGAAAAATGGAAATAAAGTTTTTGTAAATAGGGAAAGGAGGAGCAGGTGAAAGGAGGGGGGGGGTATAGGGAAAAATGAAAACCAAGATCTGTCACATAAAGGTACAAGATGCAAATGATAAATGTAACTTTACTGTATATTTAAAAAGTACCAATAAACTTGAGAAAAAAAGTACCATGATCTTCAGTGCCAGGGGTTCTTCTCGGCCAGGCCCTCCCCTGCTGGCACCACTGCCGCCATCTTCAGCACCAGAAAGGTAGCCAGACGGGCACCCCGAACCCCCCCCCCAACCATCCCTTCGTGCTTTTAGACCTCCGGATTGTACCAGTCTTTGGACCTACTCTGTAGAAGCAGAGGTGGTTATAAAGAGTATTTTCTGGCACTTTTAATTTTGAACATCTTTAAAGAAGTGGTGGGGAAAACCTACAGTAGAAATGAGTGGAGTTCACCCCTTTAGGAGGTCGGGGAACTCAGTCTGGGCCTTGCAGCCCAAGCTCAGTATGCTTTGTGGGGTTCTGCCACCAGCTAACTGAGATCAGGGGAATTGGCTCTGCAAATGTCAGCACATATTTTATATTATAACAGCAGTGATATAGTCTGAAAGAGGCCCTTCAAATTCATTTTTGTTTCTTTTTTTCATCCTACTCTGCAAATTCTTTTTTTTCTTTTTGTTTTCTTTCTCTAACTCAGTCTCTTACTCCACTATAGTATCCCTCATCTCCCTTTTTGTTTCTGCTATTGTCCTAATTCAGTTTTCTTCTTTTATTATTTTTTCTCTTTTCTTTAAGTTCTTTTCTTATGTTATTCTACCTCACTTAAGGGTTATTATATTTCTATTTTGTTTGTTCTTTTTGAATTTAACAATTTCCTGATGATTGTCTGGTCATTCTACATCTTTTGGCTTCATATGAAACCTTCTCTAATTCTTATACTTATCTACTCCTCTTGTGTTAACTTTGTTTTAAGCCCCCATTGTAAATATCCTTATTGAAAAGTTTATTTACTGTAAACATATTTTGGATTGCTTCTTGATTTTGATTAAATTCACATGGTTTGAAGGTGATAGATTGATGACTACCATAAGTGGTCAATTTGCAAATTGTGCTTCATTATATTGTGGTGCTGATTGTATCAATTAGGATAAAGGATTGTGATTGATTCAATGAGCTGTGTTCTTCAGTATGATGAAAATAAGAATGTCTATGAGTCATTAGAGACCCATGGGCTGCAGCCCAACTATATCAGGAACATTTAAGTAATAACCTAAAGGTTAAACTAAGGACAACCCAACAACAATAGAGAAAATGCTTAAGCAAGATACAGGGACAGACTTCCAGTTCACCAATGGCAAACAGTGGGGCAGATGAGGATGAAAAGTCTGACAGTGAATCATTAAGACACCCTGAACTCAAGGCACAGGAAGTAACAAAACTGATCAGTGAGGCTCTAGAGAAATATAAAACCGAAGTAATTTCCCAGATAATCATAGAGATGACAAGCAAAATGAAAGTTATAATTCATGACTCTAGAACAGAAACTGAGAGTAAAATAGATGAGCTCAGGACCATGATAGAAGCTATGAATGCCCAGCATAAGAAAGAATTGGAAACAATAAATGCCCAATACAAGAAAGAAATGGAATCCATAGGACAGATTCAAACAGATATGCAGGAGATTAAAAACTCCATTGAGAGTGTTCACAAAAGAATAAAAGAGTCTGAAGATAGAATCTCAGATATAGAAGATAAAATTGCAGTCAGTGACCATGAAAAGAGAGGTCTCTTAAAAACAGTAGGGGATCATGAGAAATTGATAAAACAACTCTTAGATGATATTAAGAAGAATAACATAAGATTGATAGGAATTCAAGAAGTAGTAGGAAAAAATGTAAATGACTTAAAATAAGCTGTTCACAGACTTAATTATAGAAAACTTCCCAAACAGAGGGGAAGAATTTTATATACAGATAAGTGAGGCATATAGAACTCCAAAGAGCCATGATAAAAAAAATCTACACCTAGACATATAATAACCAAGATCCCAGAAACCCAACAGAAGAACAAAATACTACAAGCAGTAAGAGACAAGAAACTAATTACATGCAAAGGAAAGCCTAACAGAATCACAGAAGACTTTTCAATACAAACCCTTAGGTAAAGGAGAGCCTGGAATGAGATATTTCAAGTACTAAAAGAAAAGAACCTCCAACCTAGACTGATGTATCCTGCAAAACTTTCTTTTAAAATGGATGGGGAAATAAGATATTTTCATGATAAAGAATACCTGAGAAACTTTATGAATACCAAACCAGCACTACAACGAATTCGAAACAATATCCTAGAAAAAGACAATGAAGATAACAACACAATGAGGCTCAACAGAGCAAATCAAATAGGCAAGCCAAGAAACTAAATGGAGAAGGGGAAAAAAACATGATAATAATAAGTTAGTACATATCAGTTATAACCATCAATATTAAAGGCCTCAATTCACCAATCAAGAGAAATAGACCAGCAGAATGGATTAAGAAGCAAGATCCAATAATATGTTGTATACAAGACATGTCTAGTGTAAAAAGAAGCCCATAGACTGAAAGTGAAAGGACAGAAAACTTCTTCATGTAACAGGAGCCCCCCCAAAAAAAGCAATGATAGCAACGTTATTCACAGACAAAGTAAATTTCAAACTTAAACTGATTGAAAGAAACAAAGAAGTTCACTACATCCTTGTGAAGGGAACAATTCAAGAGGAAGAGATAACAAATAATTTATTTTTAATTTATTGAGTATGTCAGAAAGTACATATGATTTTTTTTTCTCTTTTCTTCTTTTCTTCCTTTTTCTTTTTCTTCCTCTGATGTTGGGGATTAAACTCGGCACATTGTTCTGGTTAGGCAGGCGCAGCACTATTGAGTTAAATCTCACGCTTTACATTTCATATTTTAAAAATTTATCAATACATTAATCCTTGTCTCTATATGTTGGTCTACCAAATTGATGAGTTATTTTTGTTCTCATTTTCTTTGCTTTTTCATTTGAGAATTTATGAAATCTGTATATATGAGTAGTATGAAAATATTAAGATCCGTCTGTTATTTTCCTCTTTCATCTCTGCTTTCTACAAACTTCCTTTTCTGTCACTACAGCTTGTTTGGTTGGAAATTTGTTAAGACAAATGTTATGTTATCAATGTATCTTTTTAACTATTTTCTACTGATGAAGAATATTAATTTTAAGTAAATTTTATTATAACTATACTTAATCATTAACATGATTTAGTATCTGGTACATATTACAAATTCTCCAACTCCCTCAAAGATGATATTTGTTTTTTCTCAAAGTATACAAATCACCAATATTCCACACATCAATGCACTGTTTTATTATACCTAAGTATATATTGTATTGTAGAAAATATGATTGTGTATATGTGTGGGGGGTATGTTTTTACATATATGTGTGCACTATTAAATGAGAAACATGGGCATGAATGTGGTAGGATGGTGCACATTTGGCATATTGATAGTTTCTCTGACAACCTTATGATTTCTTTAAATTACATGCTTGACTTAATTCATAGTCATTCACTTGGGAAGAATATTACATATCTATTGGTGTTAAATTCTATCATTATGCTTATAAAAATATAATAAAAATAAGTATGGGATTTAATAATAATAGAAACAGAAAAATCTGATCTTAAAAATGTGAACTTTTTTTAGTTGCTTTTGGATTTCAAATATAAGTATATTTTTTTCTGTGGGAAGTTTTGTTAGAAAATGTAAGTGGTACAATCAACAAGTATATGATATTTATCAATTAATAAAACCAAGGAGTTTATAAATTATACAATTTTGAGGACAGTTTCTCAACTATAATATGTAACTTTGTTTTATTTATAATTACATTATTTCAAAAATATTATAAGAAAATGAGAAAGAACAATGTTTGAAGATCACATCAAACTAATGTATTTTGATTAATCTGTGTTACATAAATACTTGTTTATTTCATATCCTTTTTTTACTGTCATATATATGTATATTTGAAAATTTTATTTAGTATCTTCATTTCTTGTTATCATGTATGTTTGCAATCTTTAATAAAAAAATACCATGACACATGAAAGTGTGGAGGAGAGAAAAATAGAAGAAAAAGCATAAAATACATAACAGAAGTAAGACACTTTTTTTAGTACCTTCAGTAGCACTGTACCCCTTCATTTTCAAATTAAAAAGCTCACATTTTGGTTTGGCACTGGGCCTCATGAATTATGTAGTTGACTCTGGGTTTAGTTTTGAAATTTTTCTTTCTAAATGTTCTTCCAGCTGGCAGACTACACTTTTCTCATTTATACCATTTAAAGATGTTTATTACAGATAGCTGAGTAGTGTCTGGGGACATGTATAGGCCATGCCTCCTGTGTCTGCCTTGTATATTTCTATTTTCTATCATAGTCTACACATAGTAGGCCCTTTTTAACTGCTGTCTGTATAGATGAATGATTCAGTGAATGAGCTATTATTGGTTTTGCACCTCACCTTCTCATAATACAAGTTTGGGGAAATATTTTTAGTCTTTAAATCTTAACACAAACTTCTCTGAAGCACTGACATTCTGTATCAAGCCACAGTAATTTTTAAAAAAATAAAATTGATACATAATAATGGTATGTACTTATGGGATATGATATGACATTTTGATTGCATATATATGAAAATATAGAAAGCTAAATAAATTTAAGTGTTATCTTTGTGCAAGGACCATGCTAATCTTCTCTGTATCATTTTAATTTTAGTATATATGCTGCTAAAGTGAGCATGAAACTACAGTAACTTTTTAGTTCATTGAGGTCCTAGTGGAAAGATCAGCTTTGTTATTATTTGGTTGCGCAACTCTGAGAATGTTTTTACCCCCCTGAGTTTGTGTCTTTACTTGTGCAATGAAGAAGTTGAACTATATTGTCCTTTATGAAGGTCCCTCAAGTTAGCAGACCATCCATTTCTCATTTATACCACTTACAGATCTTTATTATAGATATTTAGGTAATATTTGGGGATGTGTATAGGCCATATCTCCTGTGTCTGCCTTGTGTATTTCTATTTTTCATTGTACTCTTCACAAAGTAAGCCATTATTAACTGTTGTCTGGAGAATTGAATGAATTAATGAGTTAATGAGTGAAATGAGTATTATTCATATTTCACTTCACAGCTGTTTCACAATCAAACATTTGCTCTTTTTTCATCATGGTAATGTTTTGTGCTAAGTGTATAGATTAGAAAATCTGAACATGATAGGATGGGCACTGATACTTTCCTGGGATATCACTCAGCCATTTAGAATCACTCTCTTCTACTAACTAAAAAAGTTCTCCTCTTTCTGCACTCTTCTGCACTTCCAAGGCTCCAGACTCAGTTGTGTGTGCCCAGCTCAGAGACCCATGAAGGAACTGGATAATGGACAGAATGCCTCATATGGGTTGACAGTCACATAAGAGGCAATTTAAACTTCCCACCTATATTAGTGCCTTTGTTTCCCTTACCCACTTGGAATGGTAGAATGAGAAATGGGATGGGGAGGATAACTTTGTGAAATTCAACTTCTTGAGCCATTAATACTGCCCAGGCCTTTGGAAGACCTGGATTGCTCATCTCCTTGCCCCTGGATGGCATTTTAAACCCACACAATTCTTCTCTCTCCAGAACCCATGGTCTAACCTCTCTTTTTTTCACAAGCTCTGGTCATAACTTCTTAATGACACAGGCAGAATTTTTCCAACCAGGCTCCATTTAAGTTTCCTCAAATGACCCTTTAGAAGTTCATATTAGAATTAATGGATTTATCTGAGCAGGAGGCAGGCTTTGTACGTCATTGAACACCCATCTTCTCAGAAGGTTGACGCTTTGGCATGGTTGGATGTTGCTGTCTTTATAGATGAAATTGGTTTTACATTGTATGAGTAAACTACACAGAGGTGATATTGGGATTGAGGGATCTAATCTTTTGGAGAATGCTTAACTGGAGACAATTCTAGTCTCATTTATATTTTTGAAAGTAAAGATAATGACTCCTACTACAGAAATGGCAGCCTCTCCACAATCTTCTCAGACAAGCTTGGGTAATGACCAAGCTAGCAGTGTAAACTAGATAAGTGATGGGGATGGAAAATCAAGAGACACAGCAAAAAACAAGAAGCAGTAGTGTAAAGAGCACTGGGTTGGGAGTCAGTAGATCCAGGCTCTGGTTTTCCTTCTGTTACACACTTGCTTAGTATGTGGCACTGCACAAATTTCTTTCTCTCTTAGTCTGTTTCTTTTGTATAAGATAAGGGGATGGCTTTTGGTGGTCTGTAAAGATCCTCCTTATTCTGATTTTTTTTTGTTATTTTGCCATTTGAGGGTATAACTTCCCTCCTTTAGTGTGGGCCTAGATTACCTGATTTTGTGTCCTGGAAACAAAATGTGTGACCTTAAGCAACTTACATAACCTCCCTGTGTTTTACTATTTTTTAAATGAGGTTAATAATATTACTGTATAAAATCATTATTATTGCCTTATAGGATTGTTATAAAAAAAACCAATTATTTTAATTTGTATGGAATACTTAGAATATTTCCTAGCACATAGTAAATGCTAATAAATGTTATCTACCATTATTATTATAGAGCTCTTTCATTGAGCTATCCTGAGGAAATCAGGGTAGAATACCTGAGATTTCAGGCTCTAGCATTTCCCTCCTCTATGAGAAAAGAGAATACCTAGTAGTTGCATTCCTAGACTTCTGAAAACTACCTTATCTCCTCTTGAGGAAAGCAATTGTCTGCTCCTCTACTGTACAAACCTCAGGCCTATTGTACTTGGGGCCTCAGTCTGGACTTCTTTAGAAAACAGTTCATCTAGGATTTGGTCTTGCTTCCCCAACCAGGGAGGTCATATGCATCTTCACAAATGTGCTTCTTTATCTTCTCATGGGCATTTACCTTTTTCTGCTCAAGCTCACCAGTAGTGGGGAGTGCTGGGAAGTGGGTTGAGTAGAGATGAAATAATCACTGCAGAAAGGAGGCTAATTCTCTCCAGTTGACTTATCAGGATGTGTTTCTAGGAAGGGTTTTTGTTACTCTGGGATATCCATATGGGTAATACTGTCCCTTACTCTGTTTTTCTAATATATACAGTCTATTAAAAAAAGATAAAAGAATTTGAGTAAATTAAATAGTATCCCATGGAAAATGACATCAAACTTGGGTCACAGTAATGCAGACTGTTAATGCCAGAAGGGGCTTTAGGGATAATCTCATATCTATTAAAAATAGATAAAAGAATTTGGGTAAATTAAATAGTATCCCATGAAAAGTGACATCAAACTTGGGTCACAGTAATGCAGACTGTTAATGCCAGAAGGGGCTTTAGGGATAATCTCATTTTATTCTTCACTCATATAGTATCATTAAAGAAACTGAGGCTTAAAAAAGAGAAAGTACTTCCTCAGGATCATACAGCAGAGTTAGGGCTTGAAGCTAGGTAATTTGATGCACTTTCAATATATAAATTTTCATCTGGGATACTTTAGAGGAATTGTGAAGTTCTTTAACCTGAAAGGAGTAATTTCAAGCATATTTGAGAGTGGGTAAATAAGTGGAAATGTTTTAGGAAACTAAGGTCTTTGAGTTCTTCTCAAAATTCCTAGTAGGCAATCGCCTTCTCTGTCTTCAAACAAGGCCTTCTTCACTTGTGCTCAAAGCAGTCTGGGAGAGTTAGAGTGCCAGATCAATGTTTTCAATCTACTGCCATTGTCTGGTTGGATTAGGAGAAGTTTTGTAGTTGGATTCCTTATGTATCTCCAGGGCTTGGGAGGAACTTGTCACTCTGCAATTATATTCAAAGCTCACAGCATCTGCTTTGAGGTGCTTGGTCATGCCATCCAAAGACAACAAAGAAGTATGAATAGAAATGATGGAAGTGTGAATCAGGGGTCACTGTCTGGTTTGCTTGGCAGCCAGACCGTGGGAGTAGTGGAGCAGTGAGAAAAAAGCACAGTGTGAGCCACCTGGCCAACAAAATAACCTAATAAATAAAGATTGTACACCTCAGAGAGCACAGTGGAGATTCTGGCAGGATGAGGCAGTAGTCATTTTGAGTAACAAAGAAGATGTTAATTTATGTCTAATCATAGCAAGACAAGAAACTTGCTTCACACCTCCTAGACAACATTTCCAAAAATCAGCCAAGTCAATTTCCTCCATTTGGAGGCAAAATAGAGAAGCCTTGCTCTTGGCCTCACAAATATAGTTTCTGGCCTCTGCTCTGGCAGTCACAGGCATGAGCCTCAGAGTAGCAGTTTGCATTGCCAACATTGCTATGCCAAGCCAAAGGTAGGGAAAGTACTGTTTGCATCAACATATAAATGTACATGACCTCGTTGGAGCTCTATATCTCTGTGTTGATAGCTGACTGACCCTGCAGGCCAGCTTTTCCAGGAAACATTAAGCCTACTTTTGGTTGCCTATATTCTTTTCTGATCTAAAAGCCTTTGATTGGTCATTTGTAAAGTTATCACTTTTATTTCATTCAGTTCTTCCACTTCCATAGGAGATCTCATCAAAAGGAAGGAGAAGAGAAGAGAAATCATGAAGGATTTTCAGTCTTGAAAAATCCCCAAAGAGAATCTAAAATATTCTTTTGAGGTACCCTACTTACGTTCCAAGTTTTAACTATCATTTATATTCTGGTGGCCCTTGATTTTATATGCCCATCCTCATCTCTGTTATGGCTAGGGTCTAGATGTCTCCCCAAAGCCTTATGTAGTCATAGGTGGCTGAATCTAGAGTGTGTGATGCTGGGATTTAGGGTGTATGATTACTAAATCAGTATACTAATTGGTCTGTCACTGCCATATTCCTGGTAGCCAGGGTAAAATATTAGGACCAGAAAGAGGCTTGTCTTCTACCTGTTTTGCTACCTCTTATAAGCTGCCATGAACTGTTACCCCTCTGCCATGTGGCACTCAGCCATGGAGCCAGCCATTTATTGACTAAAGCCTCTACAAACTATGAGCTAAATAAACCTTTCCTCTTTTAACTTTGGGTGTTGGGTATTTTGTCTCAGCAATGAGAGAAAATAACTAAGACAATCCCTAAGATACAAGTTAATACATCAAGCTTTATGGCACTTTGATGTACCACAGGCACCATAAACACACCAAGTCCAATGTGTATAACTCATCATATTATCAGTAAATATGATCCTACCCCAGGGTTTCTGGTTTAATGGCTGATAGTATTATCTACCAGTCACCATCCTAGAAACTGTAGATATCTTTGAAGCACATCGGTACAAAGTCATCAATCAGCAAGTCCTACTGATTTTTTTATCTCCTAAATATGTTTCAAATGCCCACCTTGCTTTTTATGATCCAGCAACACTTAACTATTTGCGGTTACCTCAAGAAATTACTTTAAGTCATCTCATTTTATTTTTGCTCTATCTTACTGGTGTGAGTCTTCCCTAGTAATTATTTTGCCTGGTTAATTTTTATTACTTCATCTCAGTAATCTCCCAAATTGGGAGAGGTTGTATACCTGTATGATCCCAGAGCATCCCACTGCATTCTCTATCATCTTAATTTATTACACTGAACTATAATTACTTGTTTAGCTGTCATTAATAATGAGATTATATGGCTTTTTGAAGAGATAGGGACTTATCTGTATCCTAGGTACCCAGCATACAGTTTGACATATATTAGATGCTGAATAATTACTTTATGAATGAATGAAAGGGATAAACATGGGTTTAGTTAATTTTAAATTCAGCTAGTCCT